TAGGCTATTTACATACTCTAGTAGAAGCCCTAGGTCTATTCTTAGAGTCTATTTTAAGTCTAGTTTTAAGCTCTTTTATTTATATTTCCCCTCCTCTTAGATTCTAATATTTCCTATATAATTATAGTTACTTCTAAGTAGTAGTATACCTTCTAGATACTCTAGATAGCTTTTAAGTAGATCTTTATACTAGAGTAGCTGAATTAGACTAGCTTATATATTATATTATCTAGGAATAGGCACTTAATAACTTAATAAATACTATAGGCTAAATTTCCTTTACTATACTAGACCTAGATTAATAATTTTATCTATAAGCTAAGTATATTATAATAGCTTATAGTAAGGCTTACCTCTTTATAGTAATTCTTAATATCCTTATTAGAGAGATGTATAATATTTATATAATATATATATCTATCTATATTAGCTTTTAGGTATTTAGGAATAAATAATATATATTTAATATATTTTATATAGTTAAATCCCTTTTTTAAGTTTTTTTAGTTAATATAGATTCTAACTATAGGAGATTCTAGTACTAAGAAGTATACTTAGTCTTTACTAAATCCTACTAGCTCCTCTAAGGACTACTAATAGTAGTTTTCCTCTAGGTAAGCATAGACCTTATTATAATCTATTTCTAGGAGGCCTTCTAGCTCCTATATAGTAGATAAGCTAGCTAGTATATTAATAATTACTTAATCTATGATAGAGATGGTTAGAGTAGAATATCTTAGTATAATTAGGAAGTTATAGAAGAAGTAGAAATTAGAAGATATAGAAAGGAGGAGGAGTAACTAATAATTTAGTAGTATAACTATTATTAATAGATAGTAAATATATATTATTCTACTTAGCTAGGCACCTATATATACCCACCTATTAAAGGGCTTAACTATCTATAGTAAGTACTAGTTAGAGGTGGTATCTTATTACTAGTAGCTTAGTAGTCTATAAGTTAAAGAGATTATTATAAGTATATTAGTATAGAGGAAAGAGTAGTTATATTATATTAAATACTAGCTACTAGTATATACTAGTAGTCTAGTAAAGATATACCTTTAACCTTACTCTTTATAAGCCTTAGTTATTCCTTACTAAGGAGACTATTCTCTATTCTCTTATAGTTAATACTAGTATAGTCTATAGAGAAATACTATTAACTACTCCTACTAAAAACTAAGACTCTTACTAAATTTAAACTTAGTTTTATATAGTTATTATTAGTTACTACTAGGAAGCCTAGTAAAAAGATACTATTAAATATACTTTCTAATTACCTATTTATATTTAAGTTTAAGGCCTATCTCCTACTATTATTACTAGCTACTACTATACCCTCCTATCTCTATACTTCTTAGTATTTATAATTATAAGTCTCCTCTATATAATACACCCTTCTTAAGCACTATCACACTATAATATACTATATAGAGGCTATAGGTTTATTTCCTACTATTATTAATATTAATCTTTTTCAGGAGGGTCAAAAGAGGGATATAAAGATAATAGATAATAAAATTAGGCTAGAGAACTATATATAAATGCTAAAAAAGAAGGGGATCTTAAGATATCTCTAGTATATTATTATTTTAAGGTTCTTTAATAACCTCTTATTATAGTATTAGCATACTCAGAGCATAATAAGGCATATTATAATTATATACTAGGCTATATAAGATAAATAATAGTATAAGTAGCTTAAACCACTGCACCATCTAGCCCTTACTATTAGAGAGAGAGTCCTAGACCTAAGCCTTATCTCTACCTTACCTTGCTCACTGGTGTTAACCTAAAGTAGGTAGTTATAACTAGTCTTAAATATATAGAGGCCCTTGATAGATATAGTTCTAATATATAACTATATTAATCCTAAAGCTACTATATAGAACTAGTAATTACTAAGCTTTATTAAAGATTAAAGTATAATAATAATTATATGCCTGCATAACTCTTATAATATATTACTAAAGCTCACTAGGTAGGTAATTTATCAGGAGTGCTAGTAGCTACTAGTATTACTACTACTACTAATTAGTATATAATCTAATACAGGTGGGTTACTAGGTTTTACACCTAGCAACCTATGCAAAAATCTTAGGTAAGTAACCTGGCAAGCATAAACCTAGTAATTACTAATAACCTACCAGTAATTACCAGTCCCATACCTGGCGACCTGGTGACCTGGCGACCTGGCGAGCTGATCACTCCACAGGGAGATGATATCACTCAAAGAGACGCCTGAAAAAGGAAATGAGACACTTTCAATTTATCTAATACACCTTGGAAAAAGCTTGCAAACCCGCAGAAATTGAATAGCCAGATTCCCCAATAGACCGTTCGAGTAATGACAATCAATGAAGAGAAAAGAAAAGTAGGCATCCCAGCGCAAACGAAAGAGTTATAAAGAAGACTTTGGTACAGATGAGTGTGATCAACCATTAGGTTCAGATGCCACGCAAGAATAACGATGTATTGGGGCAGAAAACAAAAAAGAAAAAAAAGGAGAATACTGTTAGCCGACGAGCATCACCCTACTCCTGCCGACTACGCTTCGCACCGTGGGGGTTCCACGACCCATCGTTGACTCCCTGGTTCTGAGGGAAGAAGCCTTGATTGAAAGCTGGGTTGGGGCCTTGGAAGCCGCCTGTTCCTAGTAAAAGATATGTCAGAAAACGCACGATCCTCCACCAACGATGATAGAGTCTCCAAGACATCGAACATTGCTAGACGCACCTTGCATGCCCATGTTCCCACCCATTGCACCCATCATCGGGTTCATCCCACCAGCCATAGGATTCATACCCATACCACCCATGGGATTCATCGCTGGCATTCCCATCATGTTCGGCCCAGCCATACCACCGCGACCGCGCATTCCGCCAGGACCGCCGCGCATGCCACCGCCCATCATATTGCCACGGTTGTTAAAGCCGTAGTTCTGCATCCCTCCCATTGGATTGCCCTGAAAGCCTCCGACCATAGGGTTGCCTTGAAAGCCGCCCATTGTGTTCTGGAAGCCGCCTCTGCCCCCGAAGCCTCCCATGTTATTCATACCGCCGCGGTTGCTGAAACCTCCCCGTCCGCCGCGGAAGCCTCCGCCCATGTTGTTCATGCCAAAGTTCATGTTCTGATTCGGTGAGTTGAAACCTCCTGATAGTGAACGGGCCTGATTGTCCTTGCGCATAGGGGCGTCCTTGGGAAGTGTGCGGAATGGATTTGTGTGAGGGTTGGTATAATGAACCATGTATTTACGGCCCCCTTGACTTGAGACATTCAAGTTCTCAATTTGATGCTTGGCAGCTGTCGCAGCTTGCAGAGTGGTAAACTCAACAAAGGCTTGGCTATTATGTATTGTATAATTAGCATGGCAGAACTCGCAGGAAAACAGAAAAAGAAGGCCTACCCTTTGCTTTTACCATTGACTTTGTGCTCACTGAACGTTACATCTTTGAGTTCATCTTCGCACCCGGCTTCATTGATCCAGCCACGGATGTCATCGTCAGTAGTCCACCAATACAGGTCGGAAATGAGTAAAGCAGTTGTAGCGTCCGGATCCGATGGACGATCGTCGTGCTCCTTGCGCTTTACTCCCTGTTGCGGCGCCGGCGCTGCTTGAGAAGCTTCTTGCTGCTGGGCGTCGTGCGCCTGTGTTACGTGTTCACCGTTGGCACCAGTGCTGTCTCCCTGCTCCTGTTGAGCATTCTGCTCTGTACTGGTTTCGCTTTGGCCAGCGGCGCCGTTTTGTGTCTGCTCTGGTGCATCTAGGATCAGCTCCGTGTCCTCATGCTTGATATAGTCTCCTTGGTCGTTGGCGTTGTAGCCACCGCCGTCACCATAGATGTCAATATCGAAGTTATCATCTTCAGTGGCCATCGTGTTTAGATATAGATCGTGGTATCAAGGCAGAATGTTGTGCAAATATACAATCTTTGTTTTTCTTGGTTCTTCTTTCAGCCTCGATCAGTCACTGGAAGTACATGTCTGCACACACAGATTTTCATTAGCAAGGAAAGAACATGTGTTGATTGGAAGGAATCTTGAGTAATGTTTGGCTTCCCTGGGCAAGGGCCGTGGTGCAGAGCCAAGTAAACCAAATAAGTGCAAATAGCGAAGAAAAACAAGACGTACGAGCGTGGCACAGTATGAGAAGAAGGCTCGAAGATACGTACAATCCGAAGCGAACACAGCTTCAAAAAGGAACAAAGTCTCCACCAGTTCGTAGATTTGACAGCTCCTGAACGGAGACACAGGGTGTAGGTATCTCTCTCACTCTCCTCTTCTTTTGCGTTCCAAATACAGACAAAATAGGTATCAGAAGTTTCGATAATGAAAGAGAAGGGTGCGGAGATATTAGAATCTAAGGTGCTGCGCAGAGTCCGACTGCCACAGCCTGGCAAAGGCACTTTGCTAACACACACGAAAGGTATAGGTCTTGAGACAAAACCACAGGTAATGAGTTAGTAGATAGACTGAGGTGTTTGAAAGATTAGTAGAGGTTCGTCAAGGCTGCTGCAGCCCAGGCAGTCAACAGGATCCCAGCCTGATCTGTCTCCCCTGACTTGTTGTCGAATGACGGTCAAACGCAGAGTGAGGCGACAAAAAAACGCAAAGGATATTGTACTCGAGGATTGGGCGAGCACGATAAGCGATTATCCCTTCAAAGACGTGGTGAAGCGCGTCGACGGCGATAGCAAGAGAGAAGCGGTAGCTTTGATGTCGATTGGAGCTTGTGGAGCTGACTTCCCCCGGCCCGGCGGAATTAAAAGTCCGAACCCCAGAAGGCCAGCTCTCCTGTTAGGAGATGATCTGTCGATTAAGCATCGAGGTGACTTATTGTCGAGACCATCCTGTCCCTCATTCCACATTCCGCCCTTTCTTTACTACCTTCTCAAACTTCTCGCTTCTTGGTCCTCTAGCCATTGACCTTCTCACACTTTACTGATTCTATCTTTCCCTCCTTTTATCCCACGTCGCTTTCCGACTCGCACAGCACTATGTCCGACACCATTCAAGAACTCGCCGATATCCCTCGCGACTTCCTTCGGGATGGCATGCTGTTCGTGCGCAGATGCACCAAGCGTAAGTCTATATTTGATAAAGCTTCGGGGACGAGTCTCATCTAATACAATGCGTAGCCGACAAGCGTGAATTCATCAAGATCAGCCAAGCTGTAGGCATGGGCTTCATCATCATGGTAAGCACTTCTCGTCTTATTGTGCGATGTCTTTATGAGCCTATAAATACTAACTGTGTCTAGGGTGGTCAGTTTTCCTACTTATAGAACATTAACACCCCAATACTTTTCAGGAGATGCTTACTCTTAGAATAGCCATTGGGTACTTCATCAAGTTAAGTAAGTATACCACAGAGTCCTGGCAAGCATGCGACGGCCCTTGCTAAATGTGATTTTCACTACAGTACACATCCCCGTCAACAACATCCTCGTCGGTGGCGCTTAAGTGGAGGCGACAAATCCAAATGCAACCATGAAGCAGGTGCCAAAGAATATCCTCCGAGATTGAACAAAGCCAATCGCGCGGCGACCTGATCTAAACGAGTTCCTAATCTACTGGAGACGAGGATAAATCGCGAAAATCGATATGGGGTCCTGGAAGACCATTGTTCCAACATGCTCCAGAGAGTTCGGCAGGAAGTTGCCGTCGGGTTATTATGCCCTTACGTCAATTTTGTATAAATACCACCTTTTCTTTTTTTATCTCGAGGCCTTTCAAGAAGCTTTGGGAGGCAAATGCAGCTTTTGTTCTTTTTACAATACATCAATTGTCATGAGACCATTTCGAAATCTCGAGATAGCGGCGACCTATATCCTTGCTCCAATCCCCTAATGCGACCTGTCAGTTGAATGTGAACAGATATCCGAGTACTCTTGAAAAGAATGTAGTCTAAGAGAAGATATACTGAAACTCTGTTCTTATGTACAGAAATCACCAGAGCTCATATGCAAGTTCCTCGTCCAACGGACTCCTTCTGACAGGCCGACTCCGCACCGATTTTTCCTTGTACTGGTTGAACTCGGGCAAGTAATTTAACTTGCAGTCGTAGCTCTTCCCGATCGATGGAGTACCTTCGTCATCAGCAGCACCATCGTTCCAGCTATGCAGGCTGCAGGTACCTGTGGACAAACCCCAGCCGTTCCAGGATGTTGCTAAACTACAGTCAGCATCCCGCCAGTGTACTTCCAGAGTTAGAAAAGGATGATCTTACCAGCAAGGACTGGCGCGTTGGGATGCCAACTCGCATCCCGAACGCAGGTCCTCCACAGCATCTCCCCGCTCCTACTCCTGATTTCATACGCGGTGGTGAATATGTCAGGATCGCGCGGTCTCGAATTCAGAGTTGCAAGTCCGACATCAATAGTGCCCGCAAGCGTTGCGTCCAGGTTGTAAACATACACTTTGCCGTCTTCACTTCCGGTGTAAACGTAGCGCGAATTTGTGCTACCCGGCGGCGAGAAATGGCAACGGATCAGCGTCTTCAGAACCCGATGGCCTCGGAACGTGACAACGGAGCAGTCGTGTGGATGTGGCTCGTAGTAATCTTCGGGATAGGGCTCGAATCTGTAATCATAACCGGTGGTATAACTGCTCACGTCGATGTCTGCAAACTTCGCCGTTGTCATCATCTTTCTCAAATCCCACAATTTCATCGTCTGATCCTTCCCGTTGGAAAGTACATATCGGCCGTCTCCTTTGCTGTCAACATATGTAATACCTTCCGTATGACCTATGAACACTCCAGCCTCACGGCCGTCGCCCATGGAACGCCGGTCCCAAACACGAATCGTGGAGTCATCCGAGCCAGAGTACAAAATGTGAGGCGACGATTTATCACCGAAGCAGACGGCGTTCACGTCGTCTTCGTGCTTCTGTAGCCTTAGAACAGACTGCCGTGTTTCGATGTCATAGACAATTACGGAATTGTCAGATTTGCCGGCAACAATTTCGCGTCCATCACCCGAGAATCGGATTGACCATACCTGTTACCTGGTCAGCGACTATGCGACGGTCATTTACGGGCATGCGCACCGCAGTATGCGAGCTGTCGTGGAAGCCCCGCCCAACACGGCCTAGAGATAGATCCAACACAGAGGGGTCAGATTGATCAGCTGGGTCAGTCGGTGCAAGGCAGACGATATTTCTAATGGAGGTGTATGCCAAGAACTTGTTGTCTGGACTCAGGCTGGCATCGGTAATGGTCCACTGGCCGAATGGATAGTCGACAGTCTTGTAGTACTTCCACTCGAATGGATTAGATGTATCGTACATCCGGACTTTGAAGTCCTGCGCACAACAGAAGAAGAAGTTACCGTCGTCAGAGAATTGGCCCGAATAACATCGCGAGTCATAATGAATGATCTTGTCTGCGGCGGAACCAGGTATCAAATCCTGAGAGCGCCAACCCAATTAGTACAAAGCTCCTTTTCCATCGCACCAGGTCGGGAACTTACTTGTGCAGTTGACTGTACAGCCAGTCTTTGCCTCCTAGATACGTCAACACCCAGTTCTCTCCACATGATCTTTGTTGCAAGCGTCTTCTTGCGCTTCTTCAGCATGTCGACATAGTAAGGATCGTCTCCGAAATCACCGGATCGCATGAGTTCTGTACCCTCATCACTTGGAACCTTCGGTAAATTCTCAGCTCCCGAACGTCGTGGTCTTCGTGAATATCTCAAGAAGCTGAACTCTTCGTCGTCTTCATCCTCATCACCTAACATCCCCCCTCGCCACCCATTGTAGTGGAGGATATGTCGCAGACCATTGGAAGCTAACAGATTCAATAATCGAGCAGCCGATACTGCTTGCACCAGTCAGTGTCAATAAAGAGGTAAACGCGAGTGGTCGTTGGGTAAATGATACCTCGAGTGTGTCTACCTTCTTGAGTTTCTCCGCCAGTATCTTCTTGATCAGGATCATCCATGGAGAACTCGATATGTATATTACCTAGACGCAAGTGAGGGTCTTCAAATTGTTCGACCCAAGATTAGTCTCATACGGAAGATCAGCAGTTCGTCGCGGGGAAAGCTACCGAATTGACCTTCGCCATCTTCATCCTCATCCTCATCTTGATCTTCATCTTCATCTTCAACCTCATCTCTATATTCCGTAACCTCAGACTCCGGTTCATAATCCATGTCATCTTCCTCCTCGTCCTCTTCAAGCCACTCTCTAGCTGGGTGCCACACCGTACCGGAGACTCTCCGAGGCGGAGACTCTTCCGACCTGTTACCACCAGCGGAAGACGAACCAGACAGATTCATAGTCGGTAAGGTATGTGATCAACTGTTGCGGTAGGAGGCTATATCAAACGTATCATACCGGTATCCAATACCTCTGCAGCTTCAAACATCGAAACAAGAAAGAAGTACGTGTCCATGCCTCGCGGATCCGTTTGATCTGAGTGAGTTGGACTTGGGGCATTGTTGCTTAACTTGCTTATCGATAGGTCACCGACTCTGGGTTATGTCATCCGGTGGGTTCTCCGCTTTCCGTTAACCCCTATCTCCGAGTGTTTTTGTAGTCCGCAGTAGAGAGGTAGTCATTCCGACTCATAAGGTACCGTAAGTTATAGTCAGTAGGCAGTAGAGCCCTATAAGAGCAGAGAGCTCTTGACCAACCCAGTCTCTACCGTCGGGTTATTGGCAAGGGAAGGCCAAACTCTGATTATGACAGCGTCTATCGCTAGGTGCCTGTAAGGACCTAAGAATTATTCCAGGAACCTGGAGATGGGTCAGAATTGTTACAAAACTACTGTATCTAGAACGGATCGTCCGGACACCTCTTTTTGCTTTACTTCAAGTTGCATCTCCAATACCCTAACACGCCAAAGTCATACATGCTCAGAACCAAACCATACAGTTGCGACGTGGCCACCAGAAGTTTTAGTGTTTGCAACATCCATCAAGAGATGGTCCGAAACTTCATCTGCATATTGCTTTAAGCGAAGATAGCATGGAATTTCTGGTCGAACTGCTCCTTTAACTCGCGGAAGGCGTTCAGCACCTCTAACGACACCATTGAAGCTCGGTCCTCATGTAGAATATCCGGAGCCTCTGTGGTATTGTCTTCTACGGAGAAGAGATCACTGTCATCGCTCATACCTTCGTCCCATTTCTCCAAAACATCCTCGTCAGTCGTGGCTGTGGTAGTTCCAAGTGATTGTCGCATCTGAGGAGCTTGGTTATCAGTGCGCTTCGATGCGACCCTTTGACCCACAGACTGAACATCGAATATTTCGTCTTCTTCATCCTCGACTGAAACAGTTGACGAAGAATCATCACTGGCGAACATATCTTCCAAACATGAACTCTTCAGGTCGGGATCAAGATAAACTTGCAGAGAAACAATGATCGTAGCCAGAATCAGGGAGAAGTCATTCAGCAGAAACCACGTGTCAGAACGAGAGATAAAATTGGCGACCTCAAGGGGTTCCACACATCCGTGACAGAAGAAGTCATACAGATAGGCATTCAAAGGTGCCATACCCCCATCCGGATAAACATCAAGATGTGGTATGACACTCTCCTCGAGAAACACGCCCGAGCGGACTGAATTACAGAGGTCCTTCATGCTCTTAAAATGATCACCGTGACCTGAGAGCCCAACAAAAGCTGACCGTGATTGATTCGCTTCCAGTACCCCCAGCAAGCGACTGAGCTGTTGGTCCCCACTACCCCCGACTGGCACTTTGCTAAGCGGCAATTCACACTCGGGTTCTTTCAGGTGCTGTTTGACGAATGTCTCCACATACGCTGTATATGTCCTAAGAATGCTCTGGTTATGGGCTCGAATCGCCGATACGGCATTCGGCGGCAGCGGTGGCAGCATCACGACCGAGGGAGACTTCAACTCTTGTCTCCGGGTCAGAAGTTCCTCATATCGATAGCCGAGAGTCTTTCTTCCAAATAGATGGGCTAGCACGATCATCAACGTCCTCAGCTTCTTCTCGGTGTTCTTCCGGTGCTGCTTGCACAATTCCTCAAAGTAGCCTGCATGAAGAAGAGCATGAAATGCGAAGGCACTATTTTCAGTGTAGTACAGATGCGCAATGCTAGAAGCCAAGCGAATTGGCTCTCCGCGTCTCCCGAGAAGGCCCTGACGTCGCAGATATTCAATGGAAAAGCGGAGGTGATGGAGTACCTTGTCCTTTGACTCGACACTTCCGAAGTTAATGCGTGGCTGAGACAGCAAAGAATTGATTGCCCGTACTGCGTATGGCGACTCCTTGGAATTATGAAGAAGGATGAACAGTCGAAGCACAAGA